AGACTGAGAGCTCAGCTTGCTGTTAATTTACAGAATGGTTTGCACTTTCATACTCATTTCAACAGTCGACCTGCTCTCTGGGCATCATAAATGCACAAGAATTATTGCATCTTTCTCTTGAAGCTTCACTCTCCATTTCTGTCTTGTGGACTATAAAGGGTTCAGTCCTTCCAGGTCAGTATTCTCAGGCGTTCCCATGTGAACGTCTGTCCATTTTAAATGCCGCAGTAAGAAGCAGGAAGATTAAAACTTACAAAGCGGTTTAGACACTGAACAGGGAACCTCTTTAAATCAATCAATCAAGAAAAAAATAATTTCTCTTGCTCTCTCCCCCTCTGGGGAGGAGGCATGCTGCCCCGAGGTATTGAGTGGAGACAGCTCACATTACTCAGGCCAACTCCCCTAGGCTGCTCTCTGTCCTCTGCGCACTGTCAGGAGAGCAGAGATGTCCATCCACTTCTCCTCTGACATTAGCCTTCCTCACGACTTCTATTTTAGGTTCGGTTGCTAATGAGCGGTGAACGAGGAAGCGATTCGGCTAATGAGTCTCGGGTTACTTCTCACTGTTAGATGGAGTGGGCTGGTTCAGACGGTAAAAGGAGGGGGTGGGGAGGGAGAAGGAGGAGGGAAACACAATTAATTGCTTTCAAGGGAGAAGTTACCAAAATCAGTGCACAGAAATCTAAAGGCCAAAGATGTCACATTGCAGGAAGATTAACTCACTTCATTAGGCTAACCAGGGAGTCAACATTTTACTGAACTCAAAGCGGTTTGATAATGGCTCAATGAAAAGGGGACAGAACTGGGTTTGCTCTAGTTTAGTTCCCAATACATCTTTTTCCCTTTTCCTGTTTTCCTTCTACAATGGGCAAGATAATAATAATAATAATAATAATAATAATCCTTGCATTTGATATAGCGCTTTTCACGTCGGGAGGACGTCCCAAAGCGCTTCACAGAACACACTGTAAAGTGAATTGACTGTATATTTGTGGGCGAACGCGGCAGCCAATTGCGCACAGCAATGTCCCACAAATAGTCGTAGATTGAAAATGACCAATTTAATTATTGTTTTTTTTTTGGAGGGATTATTATTAGGTGTGTGGAGTAAGGAAACTTACCCAAGGTTTCGCCCTCTGCCTGGAATTGAACTCAGGTCTCTCACTTGCAAAGCGAGTGCTCTAACCACTGAGCTACAGGACTCCACAAAGATGTTGTATAAAGCATTGAAGTCTCAACTATATTACTCTGTTGGAGCCCTCTCATTTTCTAATTCAATAAAGTCTTATCAAAATCAAAGATTGTTATTATTTTAGAAGAAGTTATCAACATAAATACAGCAATGATTTGTGTGAGTTACTGATACATTTCCTTTTTTTAATGCCACATCATTGTCACAAAGTTCTGAGAGTTACTCGTGTGATACTAGGTTATAATAATCCTTGCATTTGATATAGCGCCTCATCACGTCTTAGAGACATCTCAAAGCGCTTCACAGGATATACTGTAAAGTGAATTGATTGAATATTGGCAAAACACTTATTATGGAGGCAGAAATGATTGAATAGGGTTTCACTGAACGATATGTTTTTCCCCCCCAAATTAGTTAGCTCGTCACTCGTGTTTTAAATCCTTGAAATATGTCTAATTTGTTTTTAGGAGTTATTTTCCCCTTTTGTGCCAGCCGAGAGTCAGGAGATCAGCACTTGAGCTTCAACCTCTGATCCTAGTTGCGATAACAAGGAGTTCAATCAATCAATCAATCAAAAATGACATTTGTTTCGTGCCTTTCACATCAGGAGGACGTCCCAAGGCGTTGAGTGGGTGAGAATGGCAATGAGTTGACCAACTCTTTGGTTCTCACCTCACCATCTGTGGGAGTGTCTCAGTGTTACTTGGCATCGTCTCCGCCCAACCCAGTTGAGATGAAGACCTCAGCGTGAGCGAAATCTGAGGTAACAGATGTTTGGTGGTGAGATACAAGACAGTAATTCAGTCGAGTGATTCTGTTTACATCGTAAACCACAGGAGTGAAACTTCAGTGGTTTAGGGGAACATCAGACGAATGCCAAGATTGAGCAGTGTTAACCCCCGGAGCGCCAGTAGCTCTAAATGGAATTCTGTCGCTGGGTGCCTGTGATGTGAAAAATACTAACAATACAGACTCCGCCATTGTTAAGCGCTCTAGGAAGCTACCTGGCATGAAGGGCACAATATAAATGCAAGTTGTTGCTGTAATAAAGCGAAGCAGACATGACTTTTTTTTCAACAAACGCAAACGCATCGCAACAGGTTCAAATTCTGAACAGAGATTTTGGAGCAGGTTCGGGAATTTAGCTGGACTGAAACTCTCCAATGTAACTAAAATCTTTTTTCGTTTCTGTTCCCCACCCGCCTCCCAAACTCAATATATCAAATGGTTGGTAGTGAAAGAACGAAAAGCACCTTCGACAAACTATCTCTCACCACTAACTCCTTGTCTATCTTAGACATTTCAGGCTGAATTCAGGCTCCTGAAACACTTGCAACTGTATATAACGTGCGTTTAATGAGAGAACTTAAACCCTGGCCCAGTAGCTTGAATCTAATGTGGAGTTCCACTATGCATCACGGATATTAAATACGAAACAACAAGGAACATATGATATCTTTAGATGAGGTGAACTTTGCCTGTCAGAGCTTTGTCAGAACAAATTTTAAATACTAAACTGTTAAGTCAGTGGATGTCAGCGGAGATTTACTGCAAATTAAATTCCTGCTGGAGGCTGACAGGATCATCTGAAATCTGCAGGCCAGCTCACAGCTCTTTAAAATTCATAACCTTCTCGACAGTCTGAAGGCCAGGGGGACGGGCTCGAACTTTTAATACCATTGTTTGCTTTGAGATTAATAAACCAAAGAGCAAAGTAAATGTCACAGTCCCTGAACAGCAATCAACCTGACAGGTTAAGAAGCCAACGCAACACTGTAGAGTCACGGTCAAGAGGTGTCTCCGCACACAGTACAGCAACATTGTATTGATGAACAATTAAAAGCAGCTTTACTGCAGCTTTACTGTGCTGCTTTACAATGCAGCTTTACTGCACTGGATCATAGCTTTTCTTGTTTATTTCCAGGTGTAACACACAAGCCAAATTCGTCTATTCTAACGTCTGCTTCTTTCGCATAATTGTGGCCAAAGGACAAGAAAAGTGTGAACAGTAGAAAAATGAGTCAAGTGGTGATGTACATTCTCCCCCCTCACCCCCTCCGACCTCCAAATCTTGCTGTTCTCAATCTGACTTCCATATTTCCTGGTACAGCTTCACCAATTCAGTGCCTCCACCGCGAATCAGCTCTTTGTGCTAACAGATGTAAGCAAGATGTTTCTCCAATATGAGAGAGATGGTGGGATCAAAGTTTTAAAAGCCATAAAACCTTCTGTCCGACCAACAACACATGAGCCGTTACAGGAAGATGCAAAATAAATATTAAAACAGAAACATGTTTAGATTGAGGAAGCTCATAGGTCTTTTTTTTTGGTGAGTCGGGAGTCGAACACACGCGGAAACCCATCACCAAGTGGATAGTTTTACAAATGAAACCCCTCACGTTAGCATTGCCTCGTGACGTCACAATTTCCTTGCTACTGACTTGCACCAATTTGGTGTTTATAATGACATCTCCCTCAATTCCGAATCTCAAACCAAAGCGGATTTTTGACTCTCAACCAGCCCGGCTTCTAATTGTAGCCTCTGAACAGCCGCAATAATAGCTAACAAAAGGAAGCTCACCTACCCAGTGTACGGAGCCATGGATTTCACATCTTTTCTTGTAATGATCGAATTGTCAATTTTAGGTCAGTTTCATCCTGTTCGAAATTAACCAATCAATAGTGTGGGCTTGGGGCTGCTTTAGGAATGTTTGTCAGGAGAAAGGATGCTCAGAGTAAATAAATGCTATGTGACAATATCAGAGACAGGGGCAATTGCACCTCAATACCCTTACAAAATAGAAGTTGTCGAGCTGCGTCTAACTGGACACCTCTGGGAGTACAGCCCTGGGCTCTTTTCTGTAATTGCATATTTCTATTAGAGTCTTCTTGAGGGATGAACCAATTGCCTTACCAGTTACAGGAGAGGAACCGACCAATTGACCATCATTAACATTCCTAACTAGGAACTGTGAAATGCCTTGTTACATTGCTTATTGATTCATGGCACAAGCAGAATGAACTGCACTAGGACTTTGTCGTGTGTTGAAAGCCAAACCTGTGCGAAGCAAGGCACTGCATTACTAAGACGGCAAGCTCTTAAAGAGCATTGGGTCAATTCCAAACTTTGTGGAAATGATCAGATTAACGGTGTCATTGGAACATAATTGGAAGTGATGCTGCTTCATATGTATGAAACCTAATCTTCTCTGACCTCAACATTATGAAATTTTAAAAAAAGCTGATTAAGTATTTTATGCAGATATAATATATGCAAAATGATTAAGGGCTCACAGCAGTAACCTTGATATTATATTAAAGTTGAAGCCCAAATCCTGAAAGATTCATTATTACTCGGTAAAATATCTGTATGTTTTTCAGTGAGTGGCACTTGCTTCCTGCTCTTTCACAACAGAGAAATACTATCAGATGACGTGATGCAGGTGAGAACACACAGGTATTACACCCTGGTTGAGAAATGATGAACACAGAACCACCTGTTGAATGATTGATCCCTTCTGCGGCCTTTCAGTAACAAAATCCTTGTGCCCATTCCTATTAAAACTAACAGGTATTGGCGTTTTTACAGCATGTAGAGTATTGAAACTGAACTGGCCTGAGGTCATGTTGTTTTATTGCATGCCCCTTGACCCATACTTGACGTGAGGCTCTGTGTAGTGGACTATGACTTTAATACCGCTGTGGTGTGGATGTTGTGCTTTGTGTGTGGACTACTTTGATTTGCTGTTGCTTACTGATGGCACGCTCTCTAAATTCATAACTTCATTTCACCCTGTGTCTCACTTACTTTCCACGGTCAGAGTAATGGGCTGACTGGTTTTGTTTTCCCCGTTCTTGTCGTTTACTGCCTGCACGTAGTACCTCCCTGTGTCTGGGGCCACAGTTGACAGGATGACAAGCGTGTTTTCCATCGTAATAGCTCTGTTGGGGCAAAGAGAAAGAAAATTGAAAGGCCTGCAGAAAAATGCAATGGGCCCGTGTGTCTTTCAACACGATAATGAATGTTCTTTATACAAATAATACCGCGAGCCAATGAAACATTCTTCCTCTGGTACCAATAGGTCTAGCAACCCTCAGAGATAGCAGCCCAGGGTAGGCTTCGTAAGGAATGAACATTTCCAACTGTATTTTCTCCTTCGAATTGAAAATCCTGAGAATGATCCTGCGATAGCTTTGCATCACTTTGAAAACTGTTCGCTTGGTTGGAAGATTTTTCGGCTTCTCATGGAGATCGCAATCACCGGAGAGAAAAGAGGGTGGAAATCGCGTGGAAGGGGCATTCTTTTTAAATAACCTTATTAAAGGTTAAGATTTTATTTTGAGAGTTGCATACAGCTGAGGCGGAATGAGCGGGAGTGGTGGGACACATTGGAATTCTGTGCTGGAATAACATGTGTTAATCTCAATAAACAGAAGAGCTCCCACTCCCTCACCTCTTTGTAGATAGCACATTGACTGGTGTTAGGCTACACTGAGCCTGTCAGTGTTTGCTTGTTACCGATTTGAAAATGTAATGGATGCCTAAATAATCCTTGCATTTGATACAGCGCCTTATCACTTCTTCGAGACGTCTCAAAGCGCTTCACAGAATATACAGTAAAGTGAATTGACTGTTTATTTTATCGGCAGAAGGCACCAGCCAATTGCGAACAGCAATGTCCTACAAACAGACGTGGATCGAGTGACCAATTTATTAGTTCACTGTGTTGCACAATATTTGAGTTTAAATTGACTGCATTTCATCAAACTGTTGATCAACGACATACAACTAACTGACTCCCGATAACATTTTACACAAGGGGAGGGGGCAGATTACAATATGAAAGACTCGCCCTGTAACCTCAAAACAGCTAGATTAAAGCTCTTTATTTAGATTGAAAATAAATGTGGGAAGCTAGCAGACTTAATTACCTGAGGAATAATTACCTCTAAAAACTTCAATTAAATAACCTTTAATTGGCCATTTAAAATCAGTAGAACCAGGTTCTTTGGAGCAGTGTAGTTTGCATAATGATTGCTTTAATATCATCACCTGATTATTTTAGAAGTTCAAATCATCTATTTGTTAAAGTAAACTAATTCGAATTCAACACAATGACAACCTACACTTTACGCCTCATCAGCTTCATGACATTAGACCCCATTGCTGTATTTATTCTTATTGGAATATTCAAATGTAATAATTAAGGCAAGAATTATTATCATTCATGTCAGTTTTATTCTTCAGTTTGGTTATACTTTTATTCCAATATTTCTACCTCTTTTAACAAAGACTCTCCTTCTTTTGCAAAGACTCTCGACATTCAGTGCTATATTATTTCCCCTTTCATCCTTAGAAATAAATGAACACGTTCAAGCATTTAGTTCATCAAGGCTGTTTTTAGCTTACACCAGCTCTTTCCTTTTTTTTAATCCCGTGACCTTGTGGTCTATATGGTTTATTTCTACATCAAAGTGGTGCCTTTACCCACTCAAGGAGCTCGAGTAATAAAAGTCGATCATAAGTTGAAATGACAAAGTGTCAGAAAACTAACAACTCAGGCAGAAAATTGCAAGAGATTGAGAGAAAGCAACTTTTCTGCGGTGCTATAAAAGGCATTCTCTGATGTTTAGAGATTCACCGCATTCAGGAATCACACCTGACTGGATAGCTCTTCATATTGTTACTAAGTGCAAATTGGAAAAGTGTTTCGCTCTTCACCCTGATAGCCACCCAGGTACACACACACACACACATACACGTATTTGTGCCTTCACATTCTGGTCAGCACGTACTTTGACGAATGCTCTGAAGCTAAATAAAGCACTCAAGCGCTGAGCAAAATATTGGATAATTTGGCCTGAATGCAGTTCTGACACTTGTGACAGTGGTGCACGTCTCATTCCTTTCATAGTAAAATTCCAGCTTAACAAAGGCAGATGTCTGCAGCAGCCTGATAATTTTAGTGTAAAGAGCAGCCCATTATCCTTTTTTGTCATATTACACCTCATCTCCAAATATACAGAGCACCGCTGATAAAGCTTAGCAATCTCCATTTAACCGCATGAAAATGAATTCTGACTCGAATCCATCTGTCTTTATTAAAAAGGCCTTCTTCCAGCATATCACACACAACAAAGTCTATACACAGAAACGGCTTGAATGGGAATTAATGCAGTTTTCCCAGGTGAATATTAATGCTGAACGATGACACTGTAAAGGGTCATGAGCATTTAGCGCAATCCTTACAGGTACTTTAACAAATATCCGATAGTTTTTGTGAAACTCTTGCTCTGCCAGTTGGGGTGCTTCTAATTGGATTAATAAATACTGAACTCAGACTCTCTCCATTCCCAACGTTTCCTCCGCTCGTAATTCTAAACATCTTTCGGGATTTGTGAATCTGTTTCATCTTCCCTCTCCCTCTGCCTGTATTGCTGCCTTCTTGCTGGCAAACTCGCGCACACTCACGGCCCAATTCTGCTCTCAGGAACAATGTCTATCGTCTCTTGGTATCCCCCTGCATCACTCCACTGGCAAGTAAAGTTTACCAGTGCAGGTTCCCGACCCCGTGAATGATCATTACTCTCCTCAGAGGGGAGAGTGCTGTGAACTGGTAAGTCTCTCTCCTCTGGATGAGAACGTTGTGGGTTCAAGCCCTAAATCATGACTTTAACCTTAACAATCTAGACTGACACTCCAGTGCAATGCTCAGGAGAGTGCTGCGTTGTCGGAGGTACCGTTCTGCAGGTGAGATGTCAAACTGAGGTTCAGTCCGCCTATTCGGATGGACATTAAAGATTCCTTGATACTATTTCAGGAGAATGGAGTTTCTCCCAGTGTCTTGGCAACAAGTTAAATTGGCCATTTACCCCCTGGCTTGGGACGTCCTCCCAACGTGAAAGGCGCTATACAAATGTAATGTTGTTGGTTGTTGGCTATTTGTGGTCCTGCAAATTGCCTGCCTAGTTCGCCTCCAAATATGCACTCGCCACAGTAATTTAGCAGCATTCTGAAATGTTGACATGGTAAGGCACTATAACAACTGCAAGAATACTATTATGTATTTGGCAAACCCCACTCTATCCTTTTAAAGGGGCTGAGGTTTCACGTTTGTTTAGTTGCTCCCACAGCGGGCACTTTATTCACCTCAATCAATGCATCCTTTCCCGTTGCAAGTGGAAGGAATGCAAGCGTTGTCACATAGTGTTCGTCTATACAATAAATCAATCCTGGCTTGTCAGCGCATCACTTTGCATTGATCTTTGGATGCGAATTCCTCACTCTTCCTTCCTGTGTGCGAGGGGGAGGTGGGGGAGAGTGGGTGGGGAGAGCGGGATGTGAAGTGTTTGTTGTTTATGCCATTACTCCAGTAATCGGGTTGGGTTTGAAGAGTGGGTTTCACCATCAGCACCTTTTTAGATATACACCTTACAACAAATTATCATCAACATCCTCTTACTTATCTGTCTCAGCAGAGGGGAGCTGAATTAATACACTTGGCACTGAAGACTTGCTGGGTTAATCACTGCATCGCTGCTGATGTTATTCAGCTTCCTCTTAACCACCAGACTTCTCCAGTATACAGCACCCATAAACACCCACTGCTCAAGCAATAATAAATATAAATGCAGGGCTTTGGGCTCCCCCGTGGCTCTGTGGGCAAAGGCTGGAGACCAGACTGGCTGGCAGGGTGCGAGTTCAAATCCCAGCCTGCACCAAGTTGCCCGATCTCAGCCTTGGTAGCAGTCGGCACCGTACAATTGGCAACTGCGCTCCTCATTGTTAAGCAGGGGGAAAAAGGCTAGGGTTCTTACTCCTGATTAGTATCCAGAGATTCCTATTCTAGACATATGTGTATACGGTCTGTGGTTTTGGGGCATAATTTGGCTCAGCTTTAATGTCCCCCCCCCACCTTGGACTAACCTGCCGACCAAAGGTTCAGTATAGTGCAGTACAAATGTAGCTCTTTGGGTAAAAGAGACAACGTAAAGACTTCCTTGTTTGTACTTACATGCGACTGCTGGGTGAGATTTTCCGTCCTTCTCTGAACCACGTAACCTGGGGCTGGGGGAAGCTGCCAATTCTGGGAGCCCTGATAACTGCAGCGTTTCCCTGCGAGACGCTCTGGTACTTGTCTCCACTCTCAAAGTTGCCCATATCTAAAAACACAACAACAACAACAAATTACATTTGCATCGCATAATTACCTTTCGCGACATCCCAGGTCACATCACAAAACAGTCAAGTGAAGCCGCAGAATCTGTCCCAAGATACTGGAATGAGAATTTCCTTCATTCGCTGACAGTAAGGACCTTGTGCGGAAATGAGTGCTTTCAACCCAGATGCTATCAGTAGAAAACTGCCCTTACATTCCCAATCTGACACAGAAAGCGCAAGTGGCAAACTTCACANACTTCATGGTAGCTGGATCCTCTGTTACGGGGACTCAGGCACAATCTTATGCAGGATTGATGGAGTGCAACCCTGCATCGAACAGCTGCAACTGATGGGAGGAAATGTTTGGAGATGACACTGCTAGCCTGAACTTGGATTGCATTCCATTTCCCAGGACCTGAAACCGCTAAGTCTTTTCGTCGTTGCACAAAAAAAATGACTCTGCTCCGAAAGTACTAAAAAAAACGCAAAGATGTAAACTTAATAAAGTAATAATAGTCTTGAACATTTTCAGCGAATGATTTCCCTGTTTTATAGCCTCTTGAAAGATGTTTAGGAACATAGCGTCATAAGAACAGGAGGAGGCCGTTCAGCCCTTCGAGCCTCTTTCACCATTTAATTAGATCATGGCTGATCTGTACCTCAACTAATCCTTTCAATTCCAAAGTTTTCTACTTGCGATGCTATATGGCCTTTGACGGTACAGGAACATTTTTTAATTGTTATCACTTGCACTGGAGAACTTACCTCTCAGCTTCTTGTGACACTCAACCCACCAAATCAGTTGATACATGGAAAAACACAATTAAAACAATAATAATTTGGTCATTCGATCCACGACTGTTTGTGGGACTCTGCTGTGTGTGATTGGCTGCCGCATTTTGCCCACAAAATATTACAGTATATTCTGTGAAGCATTTTGAGATATTTCAAAGACACAATAAGGTGCCATATCAAATGTAATTATTATTATTAGAATAACAAAGCAGCCTCTACATATTCCAAATGTAACTATTTGCAAGTGGCTGTGTTCCTATTTATCAATTTCAGATCGGTATCGTACTGTACAACGGCAATCCACTTGCCACTGATCCCCAGGATTTGAGATGCTTTAGAAACAGAACCCACAGTAAATGGATTATGGCAGAAAAGATGAACAGGACTACATAGCTATAGAGATTCACACAGGGGATAAAAGGAGGATATCAAAGATATTTATTTCCTTTGCTGAGTTGAATGTTCAGGTTCAATTTCTTTGTAAACGTAAGACCTGAAAGCTACCTTGCCATCCGTTTGACTGTGCTAGTTTAATACAGCTTATGTATGAAGCAAATAATTCACTTGAAAACTTAATTTCCCTCAGCCTTGTAATACAAAATAGCATTTGTGGTATTGATTTAGATAGTGGCAGTCACTTCTGACATAAAAACGGGGGAATTGAAATCTATTTCAAATAATTCTGTTTCTTTTTGGCAGCTGTGTGGTTGATGAATGCGGAAACCCATCACCATACTTAAAGAGTATCCCAACCAAACTGAGAATTCCATGCATTCCACCTACACATGGAAATTCCAGAGATCCTGCATACCTAACTCCGGAAAATATTCCAGGTTGGCAAGAGCCAAGGCTTGGGGACCCAGAGTGTGCGTTGGGGTACCAGCTGGAGTCTAACCAGTTAATAACTTGCCATTGAAGTAATATGAGAACAGTGTCAGGCTTCAATAACTAATGGATTGTTGCCAAAGCAGGGATAGCAGACAGCAGCAGTTGTGTGGAGAAGTCTGTATTAATGGGCTTGACCCAAAACCGATAGATGGCATGAGCAGAGTAGGGCAAAGACAAAGGGCAAGACAGAGCTAAAGCAGGTAGCTATGATAGGATGGCAGGGAACAGAGAGTACATGAAAGATGAAGACTCGGAGGGCTTTATTTGCATTAAATATACATTTCATTACTGAGAGAAAAGAACAGTGAAATAAAAGGAAAAGGGATTAAATATAACTAACACAGAAGGGGCTCATGTAGAATAGAAGGAGTCTGCAGATTAGTTTTATTTGAATATGTAATTAACATACTAACTAACCCAGAGCTCCCTCCAGGAACCCGCCATGGAATTTTGTACCTCTCAGCGCTTGAAATAAAAGCCTGAGTTATCCGAGCACTTCGTGACTTTAAAAACATGCAAGGAAGAAGCCTTGCAACTAAAACGTTAGCAACTAGAGATGATTCTTCAGTGTGATGGCTACCTTCAGGCACAAATCACCTTGGGAATCACGGTCTGACATCTGTCTCCACTGGTCTGCGACAACTTCACCTCAAGGAGGTCATTATAAGCTGCCCGAACCACTACAGAAACAATCCCCAAAACATCTTGCGTTCTCGTGTTGCTGCCGTTGCGTGTCAGACATTTATAAAATATTAAAAGAAGCAAACGGGCCACCAGGCGAGCCAAGAGAAACTCTGGCCTTGAGTGTGAAAGAGTGGTGCGCACTTCTGCTTGCTTTTTGTCGCTGCGGCAGGCAGCCTGCAGCAAGGTGTGGAAGCAGATCCTGGTTGGCGTATTGAGACACAATAATGCGGAGGGGTGTCTCTGCGCAGCGTGGATGATTGTCGACAGAACCCCCACCTCGCTTTGCATGATGATACACAGTTGACACAGCGCCTATCACGTCACTCTAAGATATGGCTTCCTTCCTGCGATAGGCACCTACGTCCACACACTAAAACAGCCAAGTAGTATTACGTCTCATGGACTAAACCAGCTTTACACAGCTGGCTGGGTACCTGAGCCCTGTGAGAGTGGGGTGGGGGCGGTGATGGGGAAGAGGAAAGATGATTGAAAGCACAGTTTTAAGGAGGGCTTTATTTCTAAAGAGGCAGGTCATCCAAATAGTTACCTATTCAGACCAGCGAGCGCTGACGGTGGGGCCTGATGCTGGACTAAGCACAGCAGTTTTTCCTTTGTTTCAAAGCCACAAATCCAGCAGAAAAATGTGCCTTCAAAAATCCATCTTCCTATAGCTGATTTAAAAAAAAGTGCACTTTTCAGTGTGCACTGGTGGGATGTGCTTAATTAAGCTAATTAAAACCGTGCCCAGAATTTTTTGTGATTTCCCCATTATCGTTACTCATTAATGCTGCTGCCTGATTACGTTCTCATTAACTAGGTAATTAAGCAGAAGTGTAAGTTCCCCGAGTCCCCCTCTCCCCCACCACTCAGCGTGCGTGAGCTGCAACTGGTTGCAGCATCCCTTGCCGTGATTCTCAATGTGTGCTGCACATGACAGCTTATAAATTCAAACTCATTTTCACCATACGGAGAGGACTATTACTGTGATTGGGATAAATTCGGAGTACATTCGGGATCTTCTTGGCTAAGGCAATATAAGGTCTCTTCTGCTCTCTGCCGATAATGCCTCGTGTGCTTATTGCCGGAAATCTGATGGGAAATGTCCATTCCATTGGCGAAATGCTACACGGATGTTTTATTGCGTGGACATAGGTGCCTATCGCAGGAAGGAAGAAGGCACATCTTACTTAAGCTTTAGAAGTGCCGGCAGGTCCAGAGAAATACTAGGCTCAGCCCCCCACACCCCCCCATCCCCCCAGAGCCAGTCAGTTTGGTACATTTGCAGCTCATACAGTGAGATTCTAAAACAAGCAATAATAGAAAGAGGGTTGAGCTTAAGATGTTAGACTCCCTTAAGAAACAACGTAAGCAGGTTGGGTGCTCTGGAATGATGAGGTCAACTGGGGCTGAACCTCTTCATCTGAACCTCTTTGAGACGTCTTCCGATGGGAAAGGCGCTATACAGTTCAAGTAGTAGTTGCTGGTGTGTCACCTGAGACAGCAGTAATGAGGGGGGAAATGCAACCGAACACAGAGGATTCGCTAACTAATTGTCTTGCCCAGCTTGTTTTATTCCATGTTTCTCTCCTGCAACCACGATTACCTCCACGATCTGGAAGACAGGAGGGTGTATCTCCACAGTCACCGTCTGCCCACTTTTGCGTGCCCTGCAAAAGACGTCCCCCACCTAATCACGTAACTTGCCTGAGGCTGTCAAGCTCGTTCCCGAGAGGAGGCGCAAATGGCAGTCAAAGACTGAAGCTGAATTCCGATCTCCTAATTGAAAGCTCAACCACTGGCACCGAGCGCTGACTGGACAGTGGCAGTTAACAATTTGCATTTTGTAACTGATCGTTTCATCAAACAAAAATGTAGGCAATTGCTAAACGGAAATGCCATAAATTCTCAATATGGTAGGTTAGGAAAGTTTGTAATCGATTCACGTAGCATTAACACAGATTACACGGCACTTGCAACGTGTTTGGAAGCCATTTAAGTGCCCTGTGTGATAGGCGGCAGCTCGCAAAGGCAAAGCGAGCCCCAGCACAACTTACACCTTTTCTCGTATCTCCGAGCAGTTCAGACTCAGCCCCAGACAACAACAACTTGCATTTTTGAATAGTGTCCTTCACGAGAAGCAGCGTCTCGGAGCTCTTAACAGTGACGGTGCCTGATGCCAAGACTGCGGGAGGGAGGTGGTGACCGTAAGCACGGTCGAAGAGGAAGTTCTTCAGTCGTGATCTAAAAAGAAGGGGAGGAGGGGGCAAGCAAGGTGCAGAGATTGGGGGGAGACTTTTCCAAAGCTTCGGGGCATAGTGGGTGAGAGCACGTAAACGCTTCCCATAAGAACTGTGTTGCCGGTGGGAGTTTTCTGTGAACAACACGAAGATTGTGGGTTTTAGGTTAATGCAGGAGTGGGGGTGGAATGTGGTCATGTTCCCAACATACTCACGGGCACCAAAAAGGATGCGTATGTTGAGATGCAACTTTGACGAGCAACAGAAAAAAGAAATCACTCCATATGTTACGGTTTCAAGTCCGAGACAGCAAAAACCACAGAACAGTTGTTGCTTTTGTTATTCTCTACCTGAATCAAAGCAAAAGTAATTAGTCTTGGTACCATGCTCACATCTGCAGAGGAGACCTGCATCAAGCACCTTTACCAATTAACTGCTTTTAGCAGCAGGAGGCGATGGCTCTCATCTCCTCTCCTGCCCCCGAGAAGCAAACAGAAAATATCAAGTTCTTTGTGTACACTACAGGATGAACCTACATCCTGTAACGACTTAAGTGGTTTATGGCTTTCTGTGTGTCTATGTCCTATCACCTACAGCAGATATTGCAGCTGATCCCTTGGACTGACATAGGCATTTCAGCATTTTTTGTGCTGATTATAACAGCTCAGAAATACCTGGCCGGTGAAGGAGAGGATGCAGAGGGGAAGGAATAGGTTACAAACAGCGCACCACACTTCAAATTCAAGGAGTGTTATTATTATTATGATGACGATTAAAAAATACAGGTACGATGGGCTGAATGGCCAACTTACATGCCACCTGGACCTCTGTTCTCTTCTGCATCAGCGCTCCAACCCGATTCCGCACTATGCAACGGTAAAATCCAGCGTGGGATCGATCCAGGGATGGGATCATGTATCTAAAAGGAAAGGGGAGGAAAGCGTTAGTTGACTGAGAACTGCAACGCATGTTCATGTGTTAAATTTTTAAATAAACAGAACCATTCGTAAATCGACGGGAGCTCATTTACTGGGCTAGTGCCAGCAAGCCGCAGATGTCCCCTCGTAAATGGGACTTGATCAAACTGTGACGAAATGCCCAGTTGTCAGGGTTCTCCTGTGCACCCTCGGTCCAACCCACCCCAGTTTACTGGCTGGCCTTCTGAGCTCATGAGATGTGGAGGATCTCAAGACTGAATGAACCATCATTCTTCGCAGTTGCTTAAGCAGCCATCCATCATGGGTCAGGCATTAAAGGGAATGTAGAGCGAGCAGGAAAGTTGGGAATAGACTAGGTGGTTTGTGCGGAAAAAAGTAGTGGTTCAGACTTAATGAGCCAAAGGACCCGTTTCTACATTTAAAATTTGGCCGATCCTATGAATAGACCATTTCTTTCTTAAGTTGAAAGCAACACGACAGAAGTGTACAAGAAGAAACACATTGAAAGCACAGTTTCTGGTGCTAAACCAGGTACCCGTCTGGTAATGTCAGAGTCCTTTGGGCTTTCACGTGAACTCACTCAGGAGTCCGACCTCACTGCGTGATACAGATCCACAGTCAACAACAACAACTTGCACTTATTTAGTCAGACACAAGATGGTGATGAAATTCCAAGCCAGTTGCCAGCAATGGTCAGCCTTGATTCTTCAGGATGAGTCCACATCGATTGCTCGGAGGTGTCCCATGCTGGGATCCGTCCCAAGTCAGCTGATTGAAAGTGAATCAATTCATTTGGAAGGAAACCGAGCACCAACAACTGCCAAGCTTGGATTCCTAACTAACTCAGATGCCTCCACGATTCCATGACATTGGTGTGTCAGCACATCAGAACCTTATCAGAAGGGATTAAGCCATGCTTTCTGCTTGGGAAGCTTTAAAACATGACCATTCACACAGCAAACCATAATCTTGATAATGCCAGTCGCTACGTTCAAAGAAAAACAGAGATCCTCAGTGCAAACAGACTAATTTGAGCATCGAGGAATAAAGCTGTGTGTCAACGGTTGGACCTGAATCCAGATACAACCAACCCGCTGAGCAGCAGACATTGAAACACACTTGACAGAGCTCCCTCTCTCGGTCTCTTGCTCTCCAAGGCATACAGACACAAAGTTATCTCTAGATCATTAGACTCACTTAACCAAGGATACAGGGTTTAAGAGAGAGAGAGAGAAACACACACAGCTCTGAATTTTGAGCAATCACTCGAGTTGAGAAACTCCACCTCAATTTCTGAGCCACGCTCTTCACGCGAACATTAGCATTGAGGTTGGGTGATTAGGAATCAGAGCAGCTCAGTTAGAGGATTTAAATAAAAACACAAAACATTCCAAAAAAAAGCACCCAATAGAATAAGATAATGAGCTTCCATTATGTAAGACTCTCAACGAGAATTTGTTCCATACAAGAGTTACCCCCAAAAATATCAAACAAAGGAAAATACAGATGACCAGAAACACCACAGCAGATTCACGTCATTCAGCCTCCAATCGGAGTTCTGATTTTGTTTTAACTTTCAGGAAAATTAAAGAACTAGACAGAGACCCTTTTCTGAAAAGATGGAGAGCGATCGGAAGGGTGGAAATCCCGATAAATGGAGAGAGATCACGATGGAAGCATAACCTGCGTCCAAATACTACATTTCTTGGCAAAGCAGATACTAAGCAGTAGATTGTGTCCATCTACAGCAAGTGAATCCTATTAAATTACACCAACAGCAGCAGAGGTCGGTATCCAAAGGGTTAACGTTTTCAGCGATGCTACATATCAAATTTCATTCATCTCAAATCAACCAGTAAAACAAACGTCTATGACTGAGTGCAACTGTGAGTGAGATGAAAAGATTACTAGTAAGTGGGATTTTTTTGTGTGCGTATTTTCTACAGTTGCCCTTCGTGGAGGAAGCGCGACTTGTTCACGCAATAAGCAAAAGGTTTTCTGCTGAAATCTGTCAACGTGATCCCTGTTGTACAAACTCTCCAGTCAACTTTCTCACAGCTCCTGATATGGGTCAGCAGACTGACACGCAGGCACCTCCTTAGCAAGTAGGGAGTTATGGGCAGGCAACACACAGCCTGAGGGCCGGTGGCGGGGGTGGGGAAGAAGAGGGGTGGTCCTGACAGATAAATCGCTGACCCAGACTTGACAGACTTGTCTCTGGTGGCAAAAATGGCAGGACCACCTTGCGAAACCGCTGGCTCTCAGTCTGTGCCGTTGTAAGACATTCCCTGGCAATTCAAAGAGTGCTGTTCTCTGCGTATTTGCTCACGTTGGCAATAACAATAATCCTTGCATTTGATATAGCGCCTCATCACATCTTCGAGACGTCTCAAAGCGCTTCGCAGAACGTTCTGGAAAGTGAACTGACTCTATATTTTGTGGGCGAAACACGGCAGCCAACCGCGCACAACGGCGTCCCACAAACAGTCGTGGATTGAATGACCAAATTATTATTTTCCAAAAATTTTTTTTTTTGAAAGGATTATGACCTCCAGAAAAGCAATTCGCTAATCGACTAACAACCAGATTCCTACTTACTGCTAGGTATACAGAGGTGTGCGGAGGAAGGAAACTTGCCTAATGTTTCGCCCGGCTCAGAAATCAAACCCGGGTCTCGCTTGCGAGGCGAGCGCTTGAACCAATACGCTGCAGAACTCCACTAATTGCAACTGGGATCAAAACTGTACAAGACATCGCCCCAACTCCTGCTGCTGCTTGTTTACTTCCAATCGATAATTGTAATGGTGATCGTGTTTGACATAAAGTCTTTCTGAACTGTTCAACTACAACCACCACCACCACCACCCGTGCCCAACACTCAAAACCGCCTGCTTCCAGAAGGGAAAAACACAGAGCTGTGGAATACAGAAGACATTGAACACATCATGAAAAATGAAAAGACAAAGTGCAAATGGGGAAGGGAATACACTGGAGTCGCTTTGAAAGTAATCTTGAATAATTAACTTCAGATAGAGGTTTTTGATTCTCGTACCATTATTCCAGTCCTGTATGAAGATCATTTTCTTGGAGCTTATCTCTCTTTGTTAACTGAGCTGAACTTCTTGAGTTTCAACTGTATTTAATTTCCCTGAAGGGAAGTCTGGCTGTTAAATTAATCTTTTAATGCAGCTTTCGTGCTTTTGTTTAACTTTACGCCCCCTCCCTTCCCGCCAACTGTCTATTTGTATTGATGGTACAGCCTCGCCTTTGCAGTTATCAATTTCCTGCCCCTTTAAGAACACGGTACACAGCACGGACTGAGAATCACCCTGAGAAAGCCTCGGCTCACTATACTTCTGCTCCTTAAAGGAAACTGTGGCTAGGAATACTTAGGCTGAACCAAAAAAAATCTTGTGCACCAGACTGGGTAAAGAATTTTTAAACCCCAAATTACCGATTTAGGATGGATAAGAAAATGGGAGCGATTCTGTGATGTTGCTCGGCTTAATGTCATTAAAAAAAAGATGCACTAGTTATTTGTAGCATTTTAGATATATGAGACATTATTGCAGAAGATGGATTATCCTTCAAATAGCATTTCCCAGATTGTGAACCAAATCCATATTCAAATGCAAAGGGGGAGAAATTGCTCGAGTCTAGATTTACTCTATTTATTTATTCATTTCAGAGTGTCCATAATTTGGCAAATTCTTAAATGTTATGAAACTTTTGAAGCCAATTTTCTGCATGTTAATGCCTTTCAAGTACTTACATTTAACTCAATTCGAAGTTGAGATTGAATTCGCTGACTTGCCAAATTCTGGACATCCTCCAAAATGCTTTATAATAATAATAATAATAATCCTTGCATTTGATATAGCGCTTTTCACGTCGGGAGGACGTCCCAAAGCGCTTCACAGAACACACTGTAAAGTGAATTGACTGCATATTTGTGGGCCAACGCGGCAGCCAATTGCGCACAGCAATGTCCCACAAACAGTCGTAGATTGAAAATGACCAATTTATTATTGTTTTTTTGATTTTGGAGGGATTATTATTAGGCGTGTGGAGTAAGGAAACTTGCCCAAGGTTTCGCCCTGCCTAGAATTGAACTCAGGTCTCTCGCTTGCAAAGCGAGTGCTCTAACCACTGAGCTACAGGACTCCACAATATGCATTGTAAATAAAGCATATTTAAACTCAAAAGGAATTACTGCCATCGCCTCCACACCCTCCTCCCACCCCAAGAATATGCAGTAACAGTCCAGCCCGTTGCAAGATCCTGCTTAATAAATCACGTTCACCCACGGTTAAACAAGATTGCTGATTCAGTTGGTCATCACATTCCCAGCCAGTTGCTTAAAATATAAAATTACTAATACTCTCATTTATCAATGGCCTGTACCAATCACCCACTCCCAGCGTCACACTGATAAAAAGAATCTGACATTCACCATCTAGGACTCTCGTTCAGCACACTCGGCTGCTGCTAATGGACAATTAATTGACGCTAATCTTTTCTTGCCTTTAAAAACATTTAGTGACAGCTTGACAGCGAAAGAGGCAAAAAAAAAGGGGAATAATACACCGGAAAAAAAAAAAAATGCTTCTCGTCACTAACACAAGCTGTCACGGTGCTTTTAGCTGACGGAATCCTGCTGTCGAACCGGCCAGTCACTAGTAAACACAATGAGTCAGTCCCATCTTTTAAGTGGATTATGATACAACCTCAATTATAATAATAATTGGATACGCTGAACTCTTGATCTGCTTCAATTCTGCACAGGGTACATACATGAAGGTTAGAGAACGGATTGCTTCAGATACAAGGGCTAGATATGTCTGGGCTTCGAAAGCAAGTTTGGAGAGTGCAGCACGTCAAACATGTCAAGCCAACAGCAGGAAGAAGCTGGGCTAGATAGCTTGTGTCTGATCTGGACAACTATCTTGACAACTATCTGACCAACAGAGTGCACAAAATC